AATTGATTTAAGTGCTACGTTGAATATTTCAATAGAAAAAAAGCAGTATAATGTCCATTAATTTTCAACATACTAATACTGCCTATTTAAATGAATAAAGTGAATTTCACAAATATGCTTTTGGCTAAAATCTATGTAGGATTGACGTACAAATTGATAGAAAAACAATTAAAATCTTACTGCACGTGCACTTAGTATAAAATGCAGCCTAGGCTAAAGGTTAATGATTAATATAGTAAAAGTAAGTTGTGCAACGAAATGTACAAGCTGCCTTTATATGATCTGTCTTTTCACAGACTGTGAGTTTTATTTAAACGTGTATATTTTTTATTTTATTTATATAAACAAATAATAGTAATTCATGAAAATATATATTATATTTAATGTACACACGTATATAAAATCTATTTATTGAGTGAGTTGTTTATTTATTTTACAGCTATTCTAGTAGAAGCTTGAAGATGAAGAATGAACCTTGAGGGTTTCAATTAACATATTTGTTCCACCATTGACTGAACATCTTCGGTGGAATGGACTTTAACCAACCTCCAGGGTAATGGCACGGTTTAGGCGGAAATCATGTTGTGCACTTATCGCTTTAGCCTTGGCTGTGTTTATTATAACAGTCATCTTAAAGTCTCTGAGCCCTGAGGATAATAATTTTGGCAGTCAGTTTGCATTAAGACTTATTCCACCTCCAAGACAAATGGAACAAGATAACAACATTGTTGTGTCCGCTAAACCTGCACAGATGATACCAGCAGAGAAAGCTGATAGAATGGAGAACAAAATGCAAGATTTTCCTGAGCCAAATTACAATGTACACGCTTTCTACTATGTGTGGTATGGGAACCCGCAGTTTGATGGAAAATATGTTCACTGGGATCATCCACTCTTACCACACTGGGACCCCAAGGTGGCCTCAGGTTATCCGACAGGACGACACCAGCCTCCTGATGACATTGGGGCCAATTTCTACCCTGCACTAGGTCCATACAGCTCCAGAGATCCATCGGTTTTAGAGGAACATATGCGACAGCTGCGAACAGCTGATGTTGGTGAGAATCCTCTTTGAAACGTGGATATTATTTTTCTTTACTGTATTTGCTCCATCTACTGAATATGTTTTGCTTATTTTAGGTGTTCTAGCAGTTTCGTGGTATCCACGTAGTATGAATGACGACAATGGTGAAGAAATTGATAATTTGCTGCCTTTGGTTCTGGATGCAGCTGACAAATATCAATTGAAGGTGGTGTAGATACACATGGAGGTTTGAAATTCATAGTCTTTGCTTTTGTGTCTCATGCATTTTTTTTTACTGTCCCTGACAGGTAGTTTTTCATATTGAACCATACAAAGGACGAGATTATGCAAATATGCGTGACAATATTAAATACATTGTGGAGCGGTATGTTTGATGCTTTTCATTCAACTCTATTGTCTATTCATACTTACAAAACATAAAAAATAAATAACACTTTCATTTTCTTAACATCAGTTAAAAGTATTGTGTATCAGCTAACAATGACAATACTTCTACAACATTTATAAATCTAGGTTAATATTAAAGGAATAGTTCACCCAAAAATTAAAATGTACTGAAAATTTACTTACCCCAGGCCATCCATGATGTAGATGCATTTGTTTCTTCATAAGAACAGATTTAGCATTACATCACTTGCTCACCAATGGATCCTCTGCAGTGAATGGGTGTCGTCAGAATGAGATTTCAAACAGCTGATAAAAACATCACAATAATCCACATGACTCCAGTTCATCGGTTAACATCTTGTGAAGTGAAAAGCGTGTGTTTGTGAGAAACAAATCCTTTAAAGGATTAGTTCACTTCCAAAATTTCCTGATAATTTACTCACCCCCATGTCATCCAAGATCTTCATGTCTTTCTTTCTTCAGTCGCAAAGAAATTAAAGTTTTTGAGGAAAACATTGCAGGATTTTTCTCCATGGACTTCAGTGGTGGCCAATGATTTGAAGGTCCAAATTGCAGTTTCAATGCAACTTCAAAGGGCTACATGATCCCAGCCGAGGAATAAGGGTCTTATCTAGCAAAACAATAATTTTCTTAAAAAATAAAAATGTGTGTATTTTTTAACCACAATCGCTTGTCTGTGTGTTTGTAATTGTTTATTACAAACACACAGCTCTCCGCTTCACAGGACATTAATTGATGGACTGGAGTCATGTGGGTTACTTGTGGATTCATATGATGTTTTTGAACTCTCATTTTGACTGCACCCATTCACTCCAATTGTTCTCTAGTTAATCTAAAAAATAAATGAAGAAAATCAGTCCACAGAGGTGATTAATAACACTTATTGTATATTGCATTTTACAGGTATGGAAACCATCCTGCTTTTTATAGATACAAAACAAGCACTGGCAAATTTCTTCCACTGTATTATATATATGACTCCTACTTACAAACTCCAGATGTTTGGGCACATCTGCTAAAGCCAAATGGTATATCGACAATCAGGAACACACTGTATGATGGCATCTTCATTGCTCTTCTTGTGGAAGAAAAGCATAAGAAGGACATACCGACTGCTGGATTTGATGGACTCTACACGTATTTTGCGACCAATGGCTTTACTTATGGCTCCTCATATCACAACTGGAGATCCATCAAAACCTTCTGTGACTATAATGACTTGGTATTCATTCCAAGTGTAGGGCCAGGTTATATCGACACTAGCATTAGACCCTGGAACTCCCAGAATACAAGGAACCGCATTAATGGCAAGTACTATGAGACCTCATTTAATGAGGCTGTTGAGGCAAGGCCACAGATCATCTCTATAACTTCATTCAATGAATGGCATGAAGGAACGCAAATCGAAAAAGCCATCCCAAAGACATGGGGTAAAACTGTGTATCTTGACTACCTTCCTTATAAACCTACAGTTTATTTAGAGATAACGCAAAAATGGGCTAGAAAGTTCAGTGAGGAGCAGAAGAAATGGCTGGAGTAAAGAAAAGTAAATTACTTTATTGTTAATCCTGAAAAAGCAATACTGCCTTAAGTCGTGCTTACAAGGGCCATGGTTTGTTTTATTTTGTTCTGTTTGAGTTGTGTGCAGTTTGTTTTACTTACATGCCTTTTACCACTGTATATGACAACTTGACTGATTAAACTTGTCAAATATTAATGCTAAATCGCAATCAGAGATATTCTGCCTTGAAACTGTAAATAAAACACAGTTCTACTTTATACTGTTTTTAACTACACTGAAAAAATGACATAGAAACAATTTTCACTCAGAAATTGCTAGTACATTTCACAAATAATTACAAAGAAACAACAAATAACACACTGAAATAAAAATGAATTAAATGTTTATTTACAAATTAGTTATAATATACTGCGTACTTAGCTTAAAATTGAGATTTAAATAGATTACATTTATTTGTTACATTCATTATTACATTCATTTATCCAGATGTTATTAAATGTTCCAAATTATCATAGGCTGTAAACCACTGAATGCAAACAGCAATGATAAACAAAGGGATAATCCACGAGTACATACATAATCCAGTGTAACGCACTGTTACAAATTTCATTTCCCCTTCCATGCATTTCTTTCTTTGCATTCTTGCGTTTGCATGTAGGCTATTATCTGCACACACACGCACGTCAGTTCTTGGTCCAAAGCTCTGGAATTCCCTACCATTGTCTATTAGACTATCCCCTACTCTATCCACATTTAAATCTTCTCTTAAAACATATTTTTTTTCTCAGGCATATGCTTAATTTGATAATATTTTAGTTTTAATTTTGTTTTATTTTGCATGGTAATGTTTTGTTTTGTTTTAACTTTATTAATTTTTGTTCTGTTTTCTTTTGATTTATTTTATTAGTATTTAAATGGTATTGTATGAGGATGTTTTTGTCTCGTATGTTGTGCAGCACTTTGGTCAGCATTTATGTTGTTTTAAAGGGCTATATAAATAAACTTGACCTTGACCTATTTGGAAATATGCATTTTAAACTACAGTTCGATGAAAAGTCTTTCAAGATTCACATATGACATTCATAAACTTTCTTTATCAGAACAACACAATAACACAGTGTCACATGCTTTAAATTGTAATGTATGTGCATAGTAATAAAACCACTAATATAAAGTGTGACCAACATAATTGGCAGTGCATGGTTTCCCTGGCATCAAAATTCATTAATTAAATTGATTATTTCTTATATGAATGGGAGTTATTAAATGAACAATAAATTATTTAAATTAAAAACATTGTGTTGTTCATTCAACATAGCCATATATTTTATCAATATGTTTAACATTTTTCTGTGGAATGCAATGGATTCAAACAGCAATGAGGAATACAAAATTTGGCCACGGTTTATTTTGTTGTTTTTGTATTGTATACATTTGCTTTATTTACATGCCTTTTTACTCCTTTATATGAAAACCTGACTCATTAAACAAACCCAATTGCATTCAGAGATATTTTGACCGGACGCTTTAAATACTTATTGCCATGTGGTCATCACTTGCTCACATTATTGATCGTGTAATTGCTTATTTACTAATCTATGAATGTGTGAATTATTATATTAAACCGATTTTAAAACAAATTATTAAATGAAATTAATATTTGAACCACGTTTTTTATTTCCATACATAACATGCATTTATTTATAAATCATACACATCTGATTATCATAGGCTGTAAACCACTGAATGCAAACAGCAATGATAAACAAAGGGATAATCCACGAGTACATACATAATCCAGTGTAACGCACTGTTACAAATTTCATTTCCCCTTCCATGCATTTCTTTCTTTGCATTCTTGCGTTTGCATGTAGGCTATTATCTGCACACACACGCACGCCTACGCACACACACACACACACACACACACACACACACACACACTCTAAATATATAATTGCATCCGTGCATATGAACAGCACGGGCACTTGAAAGGTATCCGAGCGCATGTGGGGAGGGGGACATTATTCTACATCACATCACACCGCGTTACATGGCGTCCTTTCCAGCGACGCGTCTGCTCGCGTTCTCCGTTTCTGACCCATAGTATCGTACATGTTTTGACTTGCACGCGCTGATTTGAGTCTGTCATCACTGCGGACACATTGCAACATGCAGTGAAGCACTGACGCGAAGGTTATGGGTCCAGGTACATCCTATCCGAATATTGCCATCATCGGAGATTTTTCAGCACTATCCCGATATGCGAGGTATGTGGGAAGTAAATAAAGGAAGCGCATGATGTGGCTTTGCATCGAGGATGTTTGCTGATGGACAGGTGAGACAAACGATTTACTGATATGAAAATTACCTGTATGCTTTGCATATATTGTTTCAGACTTTAAATATCACGCACTGCGTGCACCATCATTTTTTCATTCATCTCTTGGGGTATTTTTGCGTTATAATAATTAAACATGGCACGAGCGCAGGGACGATCATTCTCAAGGGATGCTTCATGCGTCCTTTTTGGATACGATGCGGTTTTGCTTAAAATAGACAAAGCAGTCGAGATTTTGGAGAGACGGAGCGTGCCATATTTAAGGAATAGCCATATTTCGTGTAGTAATATGTCAGATGCGTGTGACAGTGTGTTTTAAGATGACCTTCAGCATCACTGGCGAAAGCACATCACCTTGCACGGTATTTTACGTTAATTTATGTTTTTTGGAACGATTTTAGATGTGTGTTCATTAAATATATTACCATCATATCACTGATGGGACAGACACGAATTCGTAAAGCCTACTAAATAAACTACACAAATGCTTCATATGTAATGGTCCTTCTTTTCATCTTAACGTCCTTCATCCACATCTTCTTTTTATTAGACGTCAATACAGAAGCCAACTACCAGCACGCAACTCTGTGTCCCAAATACATCACAATACATTTAAAACAAAAGGCCTTTCTTTTTCAAAGAAAGGCCTCCGTTTGCGTCTCTGTTGCAACATCCCACATAGCAATTTTTCTATAAATCTTCTATTTATTAGACGTCAATACAGAAGCCAACTACCAGCATGCAACTCTGTGTCCCAAATACATCACAATACATTTAAAACAAAAGGCCTTTCTTTTTCAAAGAAAGGCCTCCGTTTGTGTCTCTGATGCAACATCCCACATAGCAATTTTTCTCTGGCCCAGCTTCGGCCCACACAACCAGCTTTTGCTTGGCCCACATACCGCAATGAATTACGGTAGTGTGGACCAGGTCTGGATTCCAGACAAGGGCCACAGATGGGCCATAACTGGCCCAAGTCTCAGCCAAATTAATTACCCATAACTGATCAAAATGTAACATTAGAACCAAAACACAACCTTAAATAAACCATATCAACACCAACCTTTAACCAGAAAGACCAAAACTGAGCCACACCTGAGCCTGATCCACAGGTGAACTAAACCTGGCAGCCAAAATATGAACCACAAAAGGGCCATGACAGATCCATATCTCAGCCACCTGTATGACCATAGCTGGCCCTATTCTGATCCTATACGCTGGACCAGATGGGTTCCACATGTCAGCCTCAACAAAACCATAACCAAGCCACTTGATACACACCCCTCCCAGATGAATAGTCACAACAACGACAGTATTCTGAACAAATATTTAATCATGTTTAATCAGCAAACCAAGTTGAATGAATCTCACACCTAACATGCCAGCTCCGGCCCACACAACCAGCTTTTGCTTGGCCCACATACCGCAATGAATTACGGTCCTAGTGTGGACCAGGTCTGGATTCCAGACAAGGGCCACACATGAGCCATAACTGGCCCAAATCTCAGCCAAGTTAATTACCCATAACTCGCCCTGAATTGGGCCAGATCAAAATGTAACATTGGAACCACAACACAACCTTAAGTAAACCATATCAACACCAATCTTTAACCAGAAAGCCCAAAACTGATGGGTTCCACATGTCAGCCTCAACAAAACCATAACCCACCCCTCCCAGATTAATAGTCACAACAACGACAGTATTCTGAACAAATATTCAATCATGTTTAATCAGCAAACCAAGCTGAATGAATCTCACACCTAACATGCTTATTTGTTTTGCTTGGGCAGTGTGTTCACCCTGTTGGAGTATAGCAGTGTGAATTGGCATTTAGGTGCTTTGGAAAACAAAAAACAGTAAAAAAAATAATATATATATATATAAATTTTTTTTTTAAAATAGTCACAACAACGACAGTATTCTGAACAAATATTTAATCATGTTTAATCAGCAAACCAAGTTGAATGAATCTCACACCTAACATGCTTATTTGTTTTGCTTGGGCAGTGTGTTCACCCTGTTGGAGTATGGCAGTGTGAATTGGCATTTAGGTGCTTTGGAAAACAAAACAAAAAACAGTAAAAAAAATAATATATATATATAAATGTTTTTTTTAATGTTTCTGCAATTAACACAAAATTCTTACATAAAGTACTTTCTCTATTTTTGCAATATTCAAGTGTTCATGTCCCTGAATAATATCTGCATGCACCTAAGTCTGAAGAGTACACATAATATCTAGTAGACAGCAATCCTTGTGAGTGAGAAGTCTGGTGTGGAGGCTGGATCTGGAACTGACTTCTGTCTATCCGTCATCACGAACTGCCCTGAAATACAATTCAAGTGTGGAGGCTGGATCTGCTAGAACCTGCTTCTGTCCAGGTTATCTGTCTTCACGAACTGCCCTGAAATACAATTCAAACAATGTAGTGTGAGGCTCTTAAATTCACAATGCTCATTTTGGCCTCGGTGGTGAAGTGTGCAGAAAATTCTGCCGGACTGAAATGTAGTCTTTGGTGAACAGTCTTCAAGAGTGCAAATAAGATTTGAATGTTCTTCGACAGGAGATCCGCTCCAGCTCTGCAGCACGGCCATCAGCATGGAAGAATATAGGAACAATTTGTCACGGAGCCAACAATATGTAGTAGGCTATACAATGTCAGGTTTATTAGAAATAAACAAACTACAGCAGAGGTGAAATGCAGAAACGAGAAATAACAATATACAAAACATACCAAAAAAAAATCTTAAGATACCAGAATTCACATTTTTAGGTTTTACAGATGCATGATGATATAGTTGAAATATATTGTCAAAAATGCATAAAGTTATTTAATAAGATTTCTCAGATCACCTGTTTCCTGTAGCTCTGTCAGCAGCTCCCATTACAAATTTTCTTGTAACTTCCCCGTTTTAGGTTTTTTTCTGACGCTCCTGAAATCACAGTACAATTTATCATTATTTGTTTGCAATGTAAGTTCAAAACGTGTTTCAAATAGTTTCAGCCCATTAGTTCATGCAAGTGACGTCACCGATTGACCCCACAGTGCAGACTTTTAGGTTAAATTAATTAGCTTATAGTTACTTCCATTTATCTATTGACAAAGTACCAGCAAAACATTTACAAACTATCAGAAACGCTCATCTACACATAAAATCTGATTAAAAGCTCAAACTTTCATTAATAAGAGCTCAAATCTATAGTTAGCTTACCTCTAATAGTTAGCCTCTATAACTAGTTAACGGTTGTGATGCTAACGGTGTTTTTGAAGACACTAAACCATTCCTGTAAATTAAAGATTCAACAGAAACGTGTCAATCACATGTAAGAAAGTGTCAGGAACGGTTGTATGTATTATTTGTGTAACTTACCTGAAAGCAGTGAAAACAGCAGAGAGACGGACTCTCGCTACTTGTCAGCTGAGTGAGTTGACGCCTCGTTTACACATATATGTGAACATATTACCTTTCTGTATGGGAAAACATTGGGATTTTGCTCAAAAATATTTGAAATGGATTCAAGTGGGTCAAGATCGGCCATATGTGGCCCAAATATCTATATTTGACATCTGGGCCAAATACTACATTTGACATCTGGCCCATGTCTTGTGTGCCGTCTTAAACCCTGTACCATCTTTGCCAAACCCGGGCCATGTTTGGCCCACATGCTGTATGCCAGTGCCGGATGAATGCCAGCTGTGCCAGATGCATGCCAAATCTGGGCCAAATTTGTTTGCTGACTGGGATGCAACCTCGTTGATCTTTGTTTACTTTAATAAAATCATGCATCATATGTGTATTGTTGGCCAAAAATATGTAAATATATAGGCCTACAGTTAGCAGTTAGGAAACAGGATATGAAATGCCAAACACTTTGCTAATTAAAAGACCCTCCCCTCAGGACTTTTAAATAGCTGATTATTGGCCAAAGTTTGTAAACTTTGAGAAATATATAATC